TTTTCAGAGTTTATATAGACGATCACAGGTTCGTGACAAGAGGAACAGTGAATGATCAGCTGCCACCCCCTCGATCTGAGTTTCTGGTCCCCAAGATCGAGGAAGCATATGCAGATACGTCATGCATAGATTCACCTATGACGCCAATGACGTCTGACGCCCACCGTCATTGGTGAATTGGTGACGGAAAGCTGAATGCACGTGACGGTGCCTGGAAATGGTGGCTTTGACTGGACTCCACCACCCCATCCAAACCCAGATGGGACTTTTACTTTTTCTCCCATTCCTTTGTGTGAATGGACTTCTTTGTTCCTCGAGCCCACCGACGGCGATTTCCAGCATCGCCACAGCTGACACTGGCTAGTCCGGTGCTTGACACGATGATCTGACCTCTTTCTGTCTCTCACCCACCCCGGGGATGGGCCTCACAACAAACTATGTCTCAGACAGCCACAGTTCCAAGAGGTGCTCCTCGCAGACGCAAGTGGCTTGGTCCTGAGCAGACGAATTTCAACATTAGAGCATAGCCTGTGACTCCATACGTGATACTCCAGTGCTCGGATATCCTGCAAGCCCCGAGAAAAGAGTGGGCTACTCGTAGGAATACTTCAATTTGAGCACATCAGCCCCCGACAAGCTTCTGATTTGTCTTACTCTACCGACCCTCGGTACACGGAATGATGCCGCCGAACCAGTCTGGAGTTAGGCACCCCAAAAGCTGGAGAATTTTTAGCGAATACCTTGTGGATAGTCAAAGGAACTGGTGTCTTGAATCTGTCCCTTGACGACTAACCAGCATGCCATTGACCACCTGGACACAACCGAATATTGCACCAGCTCGCGACTACATACGCTTTGGGTATGACTGTGTACCGAGTAGACGGCCCATTCATTCCCTTACTGAGTAGCTCTAACCTCTTTACAGTTAGCATATGTCTTTTCTACGAGTTCGAGCTACATTTCCTCGGCTTAATTGCCTTCTGGCAAATCCCCGATGAACTCGAGTACCTCTTGTGTTCGTCCTCATGCCCTCAGAAATACTTACTCTTCAGCCAAGCGAACTCAAGCAAGGATGTTGTGAACACTTCTGCCTCGCACCCTTCTGACATGCCACGGCCTCACAGATGTATCTCTATTTAGTTCTTGCTTGGCTGGTAGCATCGCGGTTTTCTTCGTGGATCTACACAATTTTCTTTTGCCTGGTCACTATGCTTGCGCACGAATCAAGCAGATGTATCTGCACACGTGCAGCCTACATCGGAGTTGTCATCTGATGGCCAACTCTTGCTGCATCTGTTAAAAAGCCCTTCAAAGTACTTCTTCAGCACCTCTGGTCGTGTCAATCGTTCCTGCAATTGTATTTCCAGAACGGTCAGGTTTGCCACGTCGTTCGTTTCGCCTGAGCTTACCTCGCAGGGCTTCCTCTCTTTGCGATCACATGACCAATAGAACGTCCGCTAATAGCTTGTCCCTCCTCGCACGACCAATCATGATGGCGATCAAAACATTGCTCGTCTCCACACTCGCTGCCACATTCGCATTGGCATCTCCTGCTCGACGGACTGGCGCGGCTGTCAGCTCTACCACCTGCAATGGCCAGACTTATGTCTACGAGGCTCTCGCTGGATATGGATTCACGCCATCGGATGCGCGTGACAAGTTTGGTGATACCGCTGGAGGTATTGGCAGTAGCGCTGCCATTGACCAACGCTCATGGAAGGTCGACAAGAATGGCGTTTACTCGGGTATTCTCTGGGCTCTCCCGGATAGAGGCTGGAACACCGAAGGGACTCTGAATTATCAACCTCGAGTCCACAAGTTCCAGATCACTTTCAAGCCCAACTACGACTCCACGGCGGCAAACCCAAGCTCGCCCAACGTTCACTTGCAGTACCTTGACACGGTCCGTTTCACAGACCCCGCTGGGACACCACTGACCGGTCTCGATCCCGATCTCCGGCCCCCATACCTCACCTTTCCTGGCATCCCCGAGCTGCCATCTGCCACCTACACTGGTGACGGCTTCGGCGGCAATGGCACTGGGGGCCACCGTGTGGTTGGGGATACGGAAGGTCTTGTCCTCAGTCACGATGGGTTCTGGGTTTCCGATGAGTACGGCCCTTACATCTTCCATTTCGACCATAGTGGTAAGATGACTGGAGCTATCCGACCTCCAGCTGCAATCATTCCTGAGAGAAACGGCACCGAGTCGTTCAACGCTGCTAGCCCTCCTCGTTATGACCCTGATTTGGAGACGATCCCAGCAACCCCCGATACCGGGCGCTCAAATAACCAAGGATTGGAAGGCCTCACCTCTTCGCCCGACAAGAAAACCCTCTATGCTCTGATGCAATCGGCCTTGGCACAGGAAGGTGGTGACAACTCTTCAACACGACGCCTAACTCGTCTGCTCGAGTATGATGTGAGTGACCCTTCTTCGCCAATTTACAAGTCCGAGTATATGGTTCCACTCCCAGTATTCAGCAACAACACTCTGGTTGCTGCTCAATCCGAACTCCACTATATCAGCCCGACCCAGTTCCTTGTCCTTGCTCGAGATTCTGGCCGCGGTCATGGTCAGTCCAACTCGACATCTCGATACCGCCACATTGATGTCATCGACATCTCCAAAGCCACCAATCTGGCGGGAAACACCTACGACTGCACAACTTGCTCTGCGGCTTCCGTGGACGGTGTTCTCGCTGCGTCGATCATACCGGCGACATATTGCTCTTGGCTCGACTACAATGTCAACGCCCAGCTCAATCGTTTTGGCGTGCACAATGGTGGTCCCCAAGACGCCGGTCTTCTGAACGAAAAATGGGAATCGATAGCCGTGGTCCCCGTCAATCCTTCCGGTCCCACCTGCAAAGACGGATATACCAAGTCTGACGGGGAGTATTTCATCTTCAGCTTGAGTGACAACGACTTTATCACTCAGAATGGATTCATGAACGGCGGGCTGTTGCCGTACGCCGATGAGGGTGGATTCAGCCTGGACAATCAAGTGTTGGTCTTTAAGGTTAAGTTGCCTACCCATTGAGATATGGGAGGAGCTTTGTTGTATGGCCCACATTGATGGACTTGAGCGAGCAGAAGCGTGCACCATGCCGGGAATGAAGCCGACATGCGGTTCCCAAGCATTTACACCTATCCTCTCCCCCCTCTCTAGCATAATGGACACTATGTACATACGATTACTATAGTATATATTACTTCGATGATCTCTGCCTCGCATGCGCGTGGACGAGAAACTTTACTACATTACTCAGAACATGGCTTTGAACATGCCAGCATGAACTTTTGACACCTCACGAGGTCTGTCTCTGCGTCTTCTTCTGGTCCGCAAACTCATGCACAGTCCTTGTCAATGCCGAGAAATGGCCGTCCAACCACCTTTACGGACGTGTCAAGGTCGTCTCTAGGTCGCCTCCTGAATGCGCTTGTCGATCTCGGGGAGATGCGTCCCACGAGCTTCCGCGAGCCACCATTCGAGATGTATGAGGGATATTCTACCAGTCGTGTTGACCGCTGAGGAAGCTGAACACCTCGATATACCAGCTGTTGTCACATTTGTTGTGTCCTCGTGCAGGTACTTTTGTCTCACTGGCTTTGCTACTACAGCTATGCAACGGTATCTCTTGGAGTTTTACTGGGTCAGCTTTTCTACATACGGCCACCGGGGGGCCTTTCTATCCCGCCAACCCGCTCACCTCATCGCAGCTACCCGACGCCAACAAAAAATATATCAGCCGCAAACGCCAGCTCGGGCCTCGCGTCTTCGGCACCATGATCCTTTTCCGAGAAGCCAGCTGAAAGTGCGTTGGTCCCCATACAACTAGGACTAGTGTGTATATGTCCAGGCATGTCAAAACGGCTGATCGGCTGCGGGGTATGCACGCGGTGTTTTTTATCGTTGGCGATACATATCACTGTTAGCTGGATGTAGAGCTGGTCGCGGACCTCTCTCCGGATATCCCAGCGCAACCCAGTCCAAACCCCCAGGCCTCGGTTTTCCCATTTTCTCATCGGCCTTCTAGGAGCTGGGGATGGGAATGGACCAGAAAATCGCTCACAAGGAACCAGAAAGTCACAAGGACGCAAAGGGGTGATTTTATCCAATTCGACGGCAACCCCCCTTTCTTGCCACCCTCTGTTACTTCAGATTCACCAGGCCAGGTCGGTGTTTCGCCTAATACTATTACTTCGTACAGGGTATGTTTGTATGTATGTATGTAAGTAAAAGGGCGGATTGTTTGAGTGCAACCCTTCGTTAGTCTTTCGGCTGCGCGGTCCCTGTCATGCGCCCGCCCACGTCCTCGGCCAGGGATAGCATCGTTTTTTTAGGATGATACTACTAATTTGGACTACTGGGACTTGTATATCCCTCTCGCCCTCCTAGGTGCCCGGTATCCAGGACAAAGGGTCCTCTTATCTTTCCTTTTATGGACAAGGCGGCGTAAAACTATTTACCCTCCCTTAGGGTCCTGTACCTACCGAGGCTGGTATGTATGCACATATCATGCTCTGTACGACGGAACGAGTCCTACGTCCTACAAGTATAGATATCTCCCATTCCCCTTGCGTCCGCCCCGCCCCGCATCTTCGTTCAATTACTACAAGTATCATTAGTTTGTCTTGAGACTGACATCCCTCAAAAGTCTATTCGATGCTCAGCTCTTCGCATTTGCTCGTTTAGATTGCTGTCGCTGTCGCTGCTGACTTGTCCTCTCTGTCATTGGCGTTGTTGATCACGATCACGATCAGGCTGACAGCCAAGAGGGGGTAAGCGTCAGCCGTGAGTGTGAGCGTGAGCGAGAGCCGGCCAAGACAGCAGGAGCCTGTACCAAACACGAGGCTGATCCCGTCAGGAGGAGGGCCCTATCCCTAATATCTTTCCACGCGACACTCGCAGCGTGGGCCTTTTTGAGCGACCGTGATAACAAATATAGTCAGCTACCGTGGCACAGGGGAATCGGGAACTGGGAGTTCTGATCCACATGCATTTCACGACACTGGCCTTTCGACATTCCAGCTTGAACATCCAAGCACCCAGAGCGCCGTCGATCAAAGCGCCGACCGAGGTGGTGTCGTCGTCGCAGACAATGTCGACCACAGCCACGTCCACAGCTACAACCGCGAATACCGTGGACCGCGACTGCCGCTGCGACAAGGACTGGGACACGCACTCGCACTCAAACATGGAAGCTCAAGGCGTGTCGTGCTGGGACTTTGCCTATCCGACGGGGAAATGCTCGTTGCCGCCGGTCAAGAACTGCAGCTTCGCCGCAAAGGAAAAGTCGGCTACGACTCCGCGGAGAGCGCGGGGCGAGCGCAGGTTCAAGCACGAGGATCTCGTCACCAGCGGCTGCGCGGGCGGTGCAGAGATGGTGATGGTGGCAGCAGCAGCGGCAGCGGTGGTGTCTGGACTAGGACCAGACGACATGGGGGATGGTGGACAATGTCAATGGCAGACCTCCTCGACGGGCACGAGATCAAGGTCGCGGTCGCAGTCGCGAACACAACACCACGCTCATCACGATATTCATCATCATGATGGTACCAAATCGCACAAGAACGGCACGAGTAAACACCACCACCACCATCATCACAATCACCAGCAACAACCACGCAACACTACCACCGAACTGCGAACCTACCTCCTCTCCTGCCTGACGATCCCCTCCATCACCTACCCGCACACCTACACGACCATCTCGACCCTGCTCCTCACGCCGCGCACACAACTCGTCCTCCTCGTGCCTCAGTCCAACATCCTCTGCCCCAAGGTGTGCGAGCTGATGCGCCTACCTCGCGCGGGTGGGAGTGGGATCTGCATACTACCTGTGCCGTCGGAGATTGAGATGCGGGTTGTCACCGACACCAATCCCAATACCGATTCCGATACCGCTACCGAATTCGAATTCGAATCCGACAGCAAAGTCCATCTCAACGGCGCGAGCGACAGCGCGCGCGAGCACATCTCCACGGCCATGTCGATAATCGACGCCCTCTCCGTCGACGAGGTCGTCGCGAAGATTCTGAAGAATACCCCCGCCAAGGCCTTCGACGGGTATGTCGCCTTTGAGGACGAGCGGGCTGCCTGGACGTTTTTGCACCGCGTCGGGAGGGGCGTCAAGGATAAGGGGGTGGGGAAGGACAAGGGGAAAGTGGTCAAAGGCGGGAAGGGGCGGTAAGACGTGCTCAGACGTGGTGATGGTGGCATTGTCAATAGCAATGGCAATGGCAAGGGTGGTATGGAAAGGGTGGAGGGTGGAGAGGTCGAGGTGAGATGATATCACGGCGACAGTGACGGCGTGGGAGGGAAGGAATGGGTACCTCGCGGTCATCTTACTCGATTATGCCCATGACCATTTTCATTTTTCTTGGTCTATGGATTTTATGTTGAGCTAGGCTGGACGGATATATCTACATATCTACATATATGAATACGTAGGTAGGATTTACATTTGCATTTAGTTTTAGTATTGGTCTTGGGGTTCGCCTTGGTGATCACCTACATATCTACTATATACATGTACCTACCCTGTCCTACCGTACCAGCCGAGCGTCATGTGATGCATACAATGAATGGATGGGTTCTGTGTGTAGTCACTCGAGTTACCAGAGTAGCTGGCTTGTTACCTGGGACATGTACTAGGATATATGTATGCATGTATGTATGTATGTATATTACACTATAAACCGCCTTACCTCCTACGTTTGTAGATAGTTACAACTCCCCTCTCACCCGCGACCCGTGCCCGTGCCCGTGCCCGTACCCGCTCGCTCCCCCCCTCTTCCTAACCATCCAGCTCCAATGCCTGGTCGGATCGTCCAACATGGCCCGCCACGCTGGCAGATCGGGTGCCCCAGGACCGAGTCGGAGCTCGATCGCCTCGATCGCCAGTGCGACGTACTTTTGCGCGCCGCGCAGGCTGCCCACGGCGCTGTACATGAGCGCCGCGTAGCAGTACGCCGGGTCGAGGTACCCCTCCAAGCCCTCGTCGCGGTGCAGCTGCACGAGCCGCTCGGCGTGTTTGATGCTGGCATCTGAGGCGGGGTCGGACCAGCGCGAGAGCGTGTTTTGGAGGGAGGTTATCTCAGACAAGGCCGCGTCGACATCGATATCTGAACCTGCGTTTGTGTGGGTGTCGGTCCTGCCATCACGGAGGCAGCGCGAGCAGGTACATGTAAAATGGAACGCGTCCGAGAGGTATTTCTGCCGCACGGCCCGCGGGGTCAGCGGGTTGGTGTAGGCGATGGTGATCTCCTCGCCCTTGCGGATCGGACGCGTGGCGCGCACGACGTGGGCGAGAGTCGAGGCGTTGATGTAGAAGATGGCGTTGGGCGCGCAGTCGTGGTTCATGCGCGATGCCTCGGGGATGACGGCCAGATGGGCTGTCCCTGATCCAGACACGTCCGCAGCCGATGCTTTGGATTTACTTCCTTTCTTCTCTTCAAGTCGGATCTCAAAAGCGTTAGCACCGGCAATGTCTTGCGCGCGGTGGCTATCCTCGTCGTCGTTGTCGGAGAGGGTGGCTAAATCCCAGTACGCTTCGCGCGATGGGATGGGTAACTGGTCGATTGCCAGCCGGAGGAATTTCTCTCGCTGGTCCTTGGGGAGGAGGTCTTCCTTGTACGCGAGCAACACGGGAGTGTATGCTGTGATGATATCCCCACGGGACCGGTCGTGTTTGGCCAGCATACCGATTCCCTTGCCGGCGACGGGGTGTGTGTACCACGCACCTGTGAACTGGTTGACCCCCGGTTCGTCATCTGGTTTTACCGAGCTCTTCAAAGAGGCTAGGAGAGAAGCGAATTCTTTGGCAACCTCTGGAGTAGTGAAGATCGAGATGCCCCGGCCATCGCTGAAGAACCGGTCAGTGTAGACGCACAGTTCGCTGTCGATCTCACTGATCTTTGCCGTACACGCAGGCTTGTATGACCACGGCGCGAAAGTGTCTACGTCTGCTGAGACGCTGTCATTGGTCCCTAGACCAAAGTCATCGCCGCTGAACTGGTAGGTTACCTGGTCAGAAGCCGCTGGGGGTTTGGTGTCTTCAACCACGTTGGTTCCGGTGACAAGTAGTTGGAAGAGAGAGAGCGCAACCAGAACAAGCATTTCAGTTATCTCAGCGTGCCTTGACAATTCATTTCTATCTGTCAGTCAGCCATATAAGTATTGTATGCGTTGTATCGTGTGGTGACGGTCAGGTCAGTTTGGGGGACCCAAATTCGCGGGTACCAAGAGAAACCAAGGAATACCAAGCCATGCCATTGATTTTTAGGAGTGTGTCGCATCTTTCTTTACCCAGAGCATCCCATCCTGTAGTATCACGCCAGCTGGGGCTGTGGACACCATATATTGAGCGTATGATCGAGGGAGACCCAAATCGCGATTGTAATTATTATGCAGACAGAAGTGCTTCCTTGTATGGGAAGTGGACGAATGTAGACCAGCTAAGGACACTCCCTTATACCAAGGCATGTTACACAGTAACAGCTCTTCATGTGGATCTTTAACTAACCCAAGTGCTCCTAAGTGCGAGACTCATCCGCCATTAGTCATTGACTTGTATGTAAATTATGGCCCGGACCTCGCATTAAGCATCTAAGAGCATCAACCACAATGCCACTGTAGCCTCGGTTTATCGGCTGAAGGCCCCTCCTGCATTCTGATGCCTCTCTAAATAGGTAGGTATGAACAAGAATCGAACCAGGTCGACTCTCCATCAGTCAATCGCTCCGCCCCCGTCTACTCCAGCCCGTCATGTCGTCGGCCACTGCTAAGTACAAATTCAACCAGATCGGTATCAGAGTCGTCGACCTCGACCGATCCTTACATTTCTACAAGGATGTCTTGGGTATGACCGAACTGGGGCGCATGGAGCTCGACACTGTCAAGATTTGTTTTGTAGCATTTCCTGAAGGGGATGCCAGCACAGCCGGCGACATGAGCACGCTCCTATCTAGACAAGCTGTACTGGAATTGATCTGGTCAGAGGTACGTTTCCTCTTGAGCAAGGACGAACATGGTAGTCATTCAGGCCACGCGAGCTAATTGTGCCGCAGCACTCGTCCAAACTTATAACCAACTCCAATGAGCACCCAGGATTCGGCTTCATCAAGCTCTGCTTCACAGTTCCAGATCTTCCAGCTTGCATGCAACGACTTGTCGACAACGGGGTCAAGATCCTCAAACAGCCTGGCTCCACCCAAGGCCTGGAGGTGGCGGCTCGGGCTACTGGAGCGGAGTCCCCTGAAAAGGGGAGAAACGAGGGGCTATGGAAGGCTGTCACCGGAGTAGGCTTCGCAGAGGATCCTGACGGGTATCTTGTCGAACTCTTACAATATTGAGCTTGATGTCGAGGGGGCATGAAGAATGCGGGCCAATGTGGTGCCATGGCCGCAAGGGGGTCTTTGGTCGTTGGTTTCTGAGACAGAGCACGGAATGTCTGAGATGGAGTTGGCACCAGAGCCCAGCTGGATGTCAGAGATTCGACATTTGCAGTGTACAGGTAGAGTACAAGTAGAAAAACTTGTATACACCAATTTCATCACATGATATACAAAAGGAACTACGAGGGATGGAACAAAACAGCCACAAGGAGATGAAACACCAACCGCTGACTAAGCTTCGCCGGACCCACCCGCCATGCCCGCGGACCTGGTGATTGGTGACTGCCTGGTGACGGTCAAGGCCGATTGATTGCGTCACTGGAGTTCCTTCTGCGAACAGGGGGGGTCACCAGGGCAAGAACTATCGATAGACGCCTGCGCGGGACTGACTGAGTGACTGACTTCTTCACACCCCTCCAACTCACACGACCTTTTCATCTTCCACCAAACCAACTCCCTTCGTCAAAGTCGTCAAAAAACCTTTTCTTCTTCAATACTCACCTAGACCTAGACCTTTCTTGCTAGATCTGCTTTCTACATTCTCCCATAAATTGCAATCGAACCAGGCCCTTCTCCGTTCCTTGCTCCCTCCACCACTCGGTACCACCACCACAAAGTCAAGATGCCTCTTTTCAACGTATGCCGGCCTTCCTTAATCTGATATTGCAATCACTGACCTATGGCAAAAGGTCACCCTCAAGGAAAACGCTTCTCCGGAAGAACTCACCAAGGCCAAAGAAAAGGCCAAGGCCGATGGAGGGGAGATCAAGCACGAATTCACCCTTATTAAGGGTTTTACGTGAGTTTCTTCTGTGTTTTCTTTTGCAGGCTCTCCCTCTGACACACGCATCTACTAACGACTTGTGTGTTGGTTAGTGTCGAGTTCCCTGATGACAAGGTCGGCGTCCTCCAGACAAACGAGCACATCCACGTCGAGCAGGACAGCGAGGTCAGGACCCAATGACCGTGGCCGCAGACGGGTAGAACAGGACAGGACAGTCTGTGAACAAGATCCAACGCTTTGACTGGATTGTACAATCCGCCTGACTCTTCGGCAACCCTCTAATTCACGAAGCTTGATATGATACGACCCCAACACTTACTACGAGGTTGCTTATGATATCTTCTGTCACGATCACAGTGGACAGTCACGGTTCAGAATCACAGGAACTTGAGAGGTCAAAGACAGCGTCGGGGTGAAACGGGACACAGGATTTGGTGGACACGACTCTTTTTAAGCTGGAACATCTGGGCCAAACCACAATGGCATCAATTGAAATCAATATTGAATCACACAGGTCCTTTCAGATCGATCGTATGAGTATATCTTCATGCTCTAAAAATCCGTAGCTCGCCCATTATACGTCCACTCTCCACTGGGACCCCATCTCAGCGGCTCGTTCTTAGGCCCTCCAATCTCCCCCGTCTTTGGATTCCTGTCGCCCTCAAACTCGGGCTGTGCCCCTCTCACCAAGTTGGGGTGTAACTCCTCTCCTGCACCGCTCGCGTCAATCACATGAGTATATTGATTTTCCTGAGGTTTCGTCTGGTCCTTGACGCCGTCGACGGTGGCCGCGGCCGCATCTCCCTCGGTCGGAGACGACGAGTCTGGCGACTGATTAATACGCGGCGTTGAGAATGCCCCCGTCGACTGCCGCTGCAGCGCCTCAAACACGTCCTGCTCCTCCTTGGGCAGCCGCGGCGGCGCAGGCATGCCGCGGAAACTGAACTGTCCGCCCGTTGACGGATCGTCTTTCCTCAGCCGCGCAGAGGAGTGGCTGAGTTGTCGAACGCCGCCGTTGGTTCGGCCTAGGATTGAGCGTGAGTGTGAGCGTGCAGGTGCAGCACCCCTCACGTTCACGTTCACGTTCGCCAGCAGGGGATTTGGGTTTGCCCTTGCTCTTAAACTTGAATTTAGGCTCAAACTTGAGCTTGAAATTGTCCTCGAGAGTGCCCGCGGAGCAGTGAAGAGGTGGGCGCGGGGTGCGGTGGCGGCAGCGGCGCACAGAGGTAGAGGCAGCGAGCCGCGGAGAGCGTACGACCCCGCGGGTGTCATTTTTCTTTTTTTTTTTTTGCTTCTATTTCTTTATTTTATGTCCTCCTTTTGACTCTTGACTCTTGACTCTTGAGCGCTCGTGACCGTGGCTGCGGAGGCGGTAGTGTTGGTTGTGGTAAGTTGTATTCGTTCGCCTCGTGGCGAGATATCACGTAGACGACCAAAAAAAAAACCTTGTGGGTGAGAGGTCCTTATGCTCTTTCTGTTTCTCTTCCTGGGGAGCGACGCGGACACGGATAATTGATGTAAGATATGTATCTCGCTGCTTCCTGCTTCAGAATTTTGTCGCCGGTGACAAAAAAAGAACCTACTGCACAGTAGCTTTGGCGAGTTGGCGAGGCGTCGGAAACTGCACCGGCTGTTCTTCGGCAAACCTTGTACGTCCAGACGTCGAGACGTCTCGAGGTATTACACAATGTGAAAAACCCCGCAAAGACAGAGATTTCGGATGGAAGTTTAGAATGAATAATTTCATGCTCAGTGCTGAAGTTTGAATAAATTCTAGAGTTGCTGCTGTAGAATGCCTTCTCACTGATAGAAGCGAAATAAAAAGAGATTCCAAAAGAACTACCTAAACCAGACATGCCCTCATCCACCAAAGACGTTCGGTTACGCCACCGTTGTGCTTGGTGTTGTGCTCGTTGTTGTCGTTTTCGACGTCGTCGAGGTGCTTGATGAACCTGAAGGCGGTGAGGCACCAGCGTAATCCGCTGCCCAAGCAGCACTGTTGAACTCGGCAAAAACTTGGCTGATCTGGCCCGACGGCGTGATTGTGAAGGTGTCGATACCCTTGACAGCATACTGACCAGACCCGATGCCCTGTGCGACCCATCGCCAGGCAATCTTGTTGCAGGAAAAGAAGATATCGAGTGTAGTCAAGGTCGGGATCGGTGGCTGTGCTCCTTGGCCACCGATGAACGCGGCCTTGCTGGGGAATGTGGTGCTACCAAGCTACCAAGCCGTCAGTACAATACTAAAGTCAGAACCTGTGAAAGTGACTTACCGGGTAACCAGCAAGGAAATTGATGGAGTCGCTGGTGTCAGTGAAGTTGTCTGCCAACAATGCGTTTGCCTTTGCAGCAAAGTCTGGAGCTTGCGGAGCAGTCAAGAATGAAGCAAAGGTATTGACAATATTGGTCGCTTGAGCTGAGCTAACACAAGTATACGTTGGCGCCGTGATTCCAAGACAAGAACAGGCACTGCTGTAGCGACTGGCACCACTGCAGGCTGAAGCGTAGGCTGGCACTGTCGGGGTAGGAGCTGGGCTGAAGAAGGCCGAGCAATCTGCCTGTCGCGTCGCAAGAGGTGGCTGACCTGCTGTGCCTGTGACAGCCCTGAGAGATATCAGCCTTGGTCATCACAACATCACCAGCCCATACCTTGCACAGTTGTCTGCAGCACAAACACCGCGCTCGAAGAACGAGCCACCACCAAAGGGATTGGCGACCACAAAGGGCACGCTAGCACCGAGAGCGAAGAGAAGAGACTTCATGATGAGATGGAGATTGGAAAGTAATTCAGCCAAATGTTATGAGTAAGCTGTTGAGCGCTTGCCTTTTGCTAAAGATGTCTGTGCCGAGACGTTGAGTAGAGACGTGACACTGAATGAGATGGAAAATCAAGTCCTTTTAAATTCTTTTCCAAGACAACAGATGGAAGGGCAGGGAGAAAAGGGGTTACCACATTCAAGCCCTACCACGGTATACCCATGTAGTTGTCAACAATCTCAGACAAATCGAGACCGGACATAGGGTTTAGAAATGGATTCGAGCAGAAAATAGAAATCCAGAGCACCATTTTTGCGGTCCAATCTCGACATGTGTTACATTGGTCCATACTGCAGGATACCGTAGACTGCGCCGCCAAATCCGGTCCCGAGCGCCATGGCGAGCAGAAGTCGACGGCTCATCTGAATCAGGGACTTAACTGTCATCAAGGCTGGATCTTCGTATTCGATGCAGTTGATATTGCAAGGAGGCCGATAGACCGGCTGTGGCTTGAGACAAGTACGGATATGGCACTCACATTCCAGTGGCATGAGACATGGGTGGATGGAGTGTCCGGCTGAGTTCTCAACTGCATTGCGGATCGGGGCTCCCCTTGCAGAACCTGCATCAAGGGCCTCGTAATACTCTTGGATCTGGATTGCATTGGTCTCAGATGGAGATTGAGCTTATTATAGGGCCAGTGCTGGTTGTTTGGTTGGAGAACGGGACTCGAGTTGATTCAGAGTGACATGGAGGAGATGGTATTGGTGTGAGGTCGAAGTGATGAAGTGATGAAGTCCTTGGTACCTCGTACACGATGCATGCTGCCTATAGGGCGCAGGCCGCTTCACCAATTGCGCCCTCGAGGCTCCCACTGGCGCCGCTTGCCGGATTTCCCCGCATTGAACCTCCAGAAAAAAATATTGCAGGCAAAAAGTACTGACTGCGGCGTGACTCAGTGAAAAATTCTCCAATAGACGCCAACTGACTATTTATCTCCTTTCATAGACTGGTTTGTTTTAGAACTGCTCTGAGAAGAGGAGCAACTTCTTCAATAATTTTGTCATTGCTGTTACCATCGTGCCCAAAATGGCCTTCTCCCTAAGCAAGAGAGTAGCTTGCTCTCAACTCTCCAAGCTTGCTGCTCCCTCCCAACGAGCTCCCCTGACTTGGCGACGATATGCCAGTGCTGCTACTGCTGTGCCCACTTCTTCCAGTATTCCCGTCCAAGATGAAACCCAGATCCGTCACGAAGTCTCTGTACCCAACCCAGACCCTTCCTCCGACTCGCCGACGGCGACATTTCTGAACCAGTCGACTCCCTATATGGTCCCTACCTATGTTCGACCCCCACCAATGATGGTACAAGGAGAAGGGTGTACTTTGTATGATAATGAAAATAGACAATACCTGGATTTCACTGCTGGCATAGCAGTTACTTCTTTGGGCCACAACGATCCTGAAATTACCAGACTGATCGCCCACCAGGCACAACGATTGATCCATGCATCTAACCTCTATCATAACCCCTGGACCCCAACACTCTCCAAAGCCTTGATCGAGGAGACCCAGAAGCAGTCGCCCGGTTCACCTCTGACTCAGGTCTTTATCTCAAATTCGGGCTCTGAGGCCAACGAAGCCGCGCTGAAATTTGCTCGCAAGGTGACCTATGCAAAAGATCCAGAGACAAAGCAGCGAGACATTGTGTCATTCCATGGATCTTTCCATGGCCGCACTTATGGCTCGCTCTCGGCCACTCCGAACAAGAAATACCAGGCTCCGTTTGGTCCCATGTTGTCTGGGTTCCGTTATGGAAAGTTCAATGATGTTGAGGGTGTCCAAGAGTTGATCAACGAGAACACTGCAGGAGTGATTGTCGAACCAATTCAGGGTGAAGGGGGTGTCAATGTTGCAACCCCGGCGTTCCTTCAGGCTCTTCGCAAGCGGTGTGACGAGGTTGGTGCGATTCTCATATTCGACGAGATTCAATGTGGCCTGTCAAGGACTGGAGACCTCTGGGCATACACTGCATCTGGCGTGCACCCCGATGTTCTAACAACCGCCAAAGCTTTGGGCAACGGTATCCCTATTGGGGCCACCCTCGTGTCAGGCAAGACCGTTGCCCCGTACATCAAGACGGGCGATCACGGAACAACCTTTGGCGGCAATCCTTTGGCTTGCCGAGTCGCTCACCACGTCTTTGGTCGTCTCTCCAAAGCTCAATTACAGGAAGAGGTTCGGATCAAGTCGACTCTCTTCTTCAGCGCCTTTGAAACTATGAAGGAAAAGTTCCCGGGCGTCTTCTCAGAAGTCAGGGGCAAAGGTCTTATTGTCGGTTATCAGCTGTCCGACTCCGCAAAGGAGAAAGCGACTGAGGTCATAACTGCTGCACGAGAACGGGGTCTTCTCATTATCACTGCAGGAGACGGTGTTCTCAGAATTGTTCCTCCGCTTGTGATTTCGCACGAGGAGATTAACAGAGGGCTTGCTATTCTCGAAGATGCCTTGAACGTCGTTTTTAAGAAGCTAAATTAAGTGACAGAGACTACGGGCTAGCAGAAAACAGCTGCTCGCTGAAACGCACTCTGGCTACGCAAGGCTCACTGGCCCGTCCCTAACACATTGGGCTATGTTCTCACTTCGCCTTCTGGCACTGTCATGCCATGGACACCCCGGTAGTCTGGACGACAAGCCTCTTGCCACTTTCCCGCCAAAATGCTGCTTTCCTCGGCCAGTTTAAACACCTCAACTTTGAGCGGGCGGCAGCATTTGATCATTTCCTTCTCGCTGTCGCTCCCGAAACCCCACAAGGACAGATCTCCGCCTGGACAGGTCGACAGCGCCATCAGGAGGTCCTGCTCTGCAAAGAATTCGATATAATCGCCTGGCTGAGCAGGGCAAGGATTCATAAAGTATCTGCCCTGCGAATCCAGGCCAGTTACCTGGAACAAGTTGATGACGTCGTGAACATCTGATTCGTTGAGGCCGAACGGCAGGACAGCTCTTGTGAGGTTGGAGTGACAATGATAGTCGTACGATGCTTCAGGTCCGGAGAGCAGGGTGTTGATATACGGGTCGCATCTGGTGCCTAGAAGGTCGTGGACTCTACCTCCGGTCTCATCCACTCCATACCAGGAAAGAGAATCAGAGATGATGGTGCACAGGGGACGCATATACGGTAGGCAGGACCAGAGGCGATCATATGTGGTAACGTGTGACGAATGGAGCTGCTTGGTCCGCGAGGCCCAGAACCTCTCGCGAGGGTTGTTCGCATTCCAGATGTTCAAATCGCCTACCAGTATGTCAGAACCTGATCCTATATCAAGACTCCTCTTCCTTACCAACTTGAGGCCCTTCGGGTGTGCTGATTCGGACAATACTCTTTGCTGGGGCCTTCCAAGCACGACCTGAACGGATAGGCAAGACAAACGACTCGACAAGTTCCCGAGGACTTTGTTGAATTGATTGATACAACTCTTGGTGAACTGTCAAGGGTGAACCGGCTGTAGGTAGATATGCTGGTTGAGGAGTGGGCAAGGGCTTCCTCGACTTCAAGCGTTCCTCGTTGGACTGCGAGATAGACATTGTCACTCGCAAAGATCACCAATCTCTGGCCTTTAGAGAGTCGTCTTTTGCTGTGTGAGACCTCGAGGTTTGTCCTGCTCCATCCTGGGCTCAGCTCGTTATTTATGGGCTTCTGTACACGGACATGTCCGTCCGCCCTTGGACATCAGTTGGGCATATGTTATCAAAGCTTATTGTCACATAGTATGTTCCGAATCCACGCCAGTGTGAGATACAAGTCGAGTAAGGTAAGTCTTCGTTTCTATCTCGAGCACACTCTGTATACTTGTAACGCAGTGATGAGTCGACAAGGCCACCACCGCACCAGGCTCAAGCGTTGCATCAGGCCACCCGCTATAGCCCATGCTATAGCCCATCCAGGCCTAGTGAAACATGTTGGCCATGTATATATGTAACACTAGGCGAAGTCCCCTCAAGCACGCCCCGGACGACCTCGAGCTCTTGTATCTTTCGCATTTGTTGTTGAAATGGCTACTGCTGGCCTCGGCAGACATGGTCCAAAGACTCGCACAGGGTGTGTAACCTGCAAACGGCGACGGGTCAAGTGTTCTTTAGAGAAGCCTTCGTGCTCGCGATGCGCCAAAGCAGGTCGGGTGTGTGAGGGCTATCAACTCTCAGTGGTCCAAGAAGTTGTTGCGAGTCCTGCCAAAGCAACGACTCCTCCCCATCTCAATAATTCTTCGTCCCTGCTCTCGGCTTTTCGCGCTACCCCATCAGAATGGCAAGCCTACGGATTCTACTCCCACCGGATCGCAACCACCTTGGGGGGCGCCTTTGACACGGAGTTGTGGCAGAAGCTGATGCTCCAGGCCGCCGATACCGAGCCGACTGTGCGGAATGGGATCTTTGCCCTGGGGAACCTGTTCAGACACGGCCAAGATGGTGGTGGGCAGCATGCGTCCGACTGTGTTTGTGCTCACTGTCGACAAGCACTACGATACTACAACAAATCCATCGTAGCATTGTCGGATTCGCTGCAGGAGCCAAGCACGCCGCAAGCGGCTCACGTCGCTCTCCTCTCGTGTATCATCTTCATTTGCCTCGAGTTCTACCGCATGAACGACAACACGGGGATTTCTCTGATCTCCAAGGGGTGTAGCATGGTCGCAGAGACTCTGAACAACCAGTCTGCTTCAGGGACAGTGTTAATAGATCCGAGCCTTGTGAAAGCGTTTGATCGACTTTGGCTTCTGGCAAAGATGTTTGGACGTCAGCTGCCTCGACCGTCATCGCAAGAATCACTGATATCTGGGTCTTCCTGGCTGCCGGACTTTGATAGCATAGAAGGATCAAGAGATTGCCTGCACAAGATTTTGGAGCGCGTTCAGGGCTTAAGGGTGGAGGTCTTTCGGGTGTATTCGAGTCCGTCTTCGACACATGTTTCTGCGGCAAAAGCTTCATTAGAGAGCGAGCAACAAGCCGCCCAGATTCTTCTCGAGAATTGGCGCAGGAATTGGGAGAAGGTGAGCGCCCAACCAGCAACGAGCGCGACTCAGCACCCGCAAGCGCATCTGATCCTACGCGCCCACTACCTGATCACCAAGGTCGGCGCCTACGCGAGGCTCGACCCAGCGCAACTCAACCATGAAGACCACCTCGACGACTTTAGAGGAATCGTCCTCGCGGCCGAGGAAGGCCTCACACGATTTCCCCTCAAAGACGAAGCCACGGGCTTTTCCTTTGAAATGTCCTTCCTGGCTCCCCTCTACCTGACCGCGCTCAAGTGTCGAGACCCCACGGTGCGCAGGAAAGCTTTGGAGATGATGTTTCTGACAGGCGCCAAGGAAGGGCTGTGGTATCGATCCGAATTGACCTGTATTGCCGCACGGGTCATTGAGCTCGAGGAGGGTCTCGTCGCAGGTTTGGGAGAAGGAGATGGAGGTTTTGCCAGAGATGTAGCGGGAAAGCACTTTTTCGACGTCCACGCTGGACTGAACTATCGCAGGGACGGAAAGACGTTTGTGGACGTGGCGTATCTCGTTTATGATGCGGCCTGTCCCGAACGGTGGCGGAGCTGGCGAGAGACTCTGGCAGTTGGGGAGTGAATGTTGGTAGCATACATGACTTGCACTTTGAGGCTTTATCGTGACGGTTTTGACGGAAGCATCATTCACGTCTGGTCTAGTATCGAGTATAAGGTACAAGGTAGATATAAGCCCCTTTCTATTCAGTCCAATCCACCAAATCCTTCTGATTGGCACCATACCCATCCGTGACACAAGAGCCAGACCCATTGTCCCATCGCATCGACTCCATCCCACAGCCTTGCCGGCATTTCCCCATCCGGCGCGGTTTCCGATACGCGAGCATCTTCTCGTTGCTACTCGTACTCCATCCTTCTCATCTCCCTCACAGCCTTCCTTCACTTGCGACTTAGGAGTACGTATGTACGTAATTAGGTAGGTAGGTCGCTAGGTATGTAGGTAGTGCCGTTGGAGACAAACAAATCAACCTCTCCCTCTCCGACTTACGTACCTAGTCCTTGTCCTCGCCTCGTCACTCAGGAAGTCAGTCAGTCTCTGCGCCACAAAATAATGTCACCACAAGACAAGGCGAGATTGGCCTCTGTCTATTATGTGCCTACCGAACGTCTAACGTCTAACGTGCGATCGGGCGCTGAGTCCGAGCATGCTACCCCATCTACACGTTCAGCTCGCACTGTTCCCCAGACGCGGTCAAGTGCATACATTTACAAATATTGCAGGACCGTTTCTTTTCCCCAGGGGTCATCCACTCATCGATGCCGGGATCGGTTGAGGGTATGTCCTCGAGACTTGTCGTCTGCTGCCTGGTCCTGATCTTGATCTTGATCTAGCGTCGACTCGACGGCGCTCTATTCATGGTTCCAACGCGAGATGCATGCATCGCACAGACGGTTTGTGGGTTTGTGGGTTTGTAGTTTCACTGATGGCGGAGGAGCAGGCTGCTATATACTACTGCATATAAGGACGATATGCCCTCGCTCGCCTTGATGAGACGGTCTTCACTACATAGAGCATTCTCTTCTTGACACCAATCTTTTAACTTTTATTAACGAACAATTCCAGCACCAGATTCCACTCTCCCTATCTCGCTTTTATTTACTTTTCTTGGTGATGGCCATCCTATGGCATCATAAGCTCGCTCTCATCATTTCCCTCCACACCACCCTCCTTCTCGCCCAACTCCAATGCCCACCCTTGGGCCCCATCCTACCCGCGCCGACGAACCTGACGCACAACAACAATAACAACTCTACACTCTCCCAAGTCCTCGCGGCCATCACCACGCAACTCCAAGCTTACAGCTCGCAACTCAACGCCACAGCGCTGTCCGTGGGCGTACGGTCAATCCACGAACCTGCCCCAGTGTTGAGCTTCCACCACACGCCCACGACGTTCAACACGAGCGGCACGCACAAGGTCAACGGCGACACCGTGTACGCAATTGGCAGCGCGACCAAGCTCTTCACCGCGCTGTCGATCCTCCAGCTCCAGGGGAAAATCAACCTCGCGGACCCGATCACGAAATATGTGCCCCGGCTCGCGCAGATGGATGGGAGCCACGATGACCCGTTGACGAGGGTTGATTGGGACAGTGTCACGGTGGATGCTCTCGCGAGCCATTTGGGTGGTATTGGTGCAGACCGTACGTGTTCCGTCATATTGTCACATATTCGCATTTCCGAAGACTCAGCACCCAAGAAGACTTTGGTCTTGTTCGATTTGGGGCCGAGAGAGAAAAAAAAGCTGTGAGGGGGAAGAACTAGATTGATCTGTTATGGACTGACCCGTGGATTTCAATCGCAGTCACAAACAGCGTTATCCCATACAGGCCCGGCATCACGGATGAGACTGGCCTCCCTCCACTGACTCCCTCCCAAAACTCGCTTTCATGCAGCGGCGCGCCCGGCACTTCGGGGTGTAGCTGGAACGGTATGCTTTTCTTCTTCCATTGTGTTTGCATAGCCTAAAGGGGGGTGATTGTTGACGTCGACTTACTTGGTTTGACTACACTGAACTGAACTGAACTGAACTGACCCATCTCTGTCGAACAACTCAGATTTCTTCAACAACTTCGCTCGCCGGCCGCCCGTGTACGCCCCCTCGACCACCCCCGTGTACTCGAACATCGGGTACGCGCTGCTCGGGCGCGTCATCGAGAACGTCACCGGAAAGACGTACGCCGCGTACCTGGAAGACGCGGTCTTTGGGCCTGCGAACCTGCGTCGTACGTCCCTGGGGGCTCCCGCCAACACGTCCCTGGGATTCATCCCCGCCGAGACGAATTGGTGGGGGACACCGCTGGGGTATGAGAATAGGTGAGTACAGTCGTCCTCTTTCACAAGACACAGGCCCCTGAATCTTCCCCGGTTGGGTGGCCAAAACAAAAATATGGTGATCACATGGTAACGATTGGATCTGTACAGCTCTGGCGGGATATACTCGACCAACAACGACCTCCTGTCCTTTGGCGCGGCGATCCTCTCCTCAAAGCTCCTCGCCTCACCAGCCAAGACGCGCGCGTGGCTGAAACCCAAGACCTTCACCTCGTCGCCAGGCGTGTCGGTGGGGGCACCGTGGGAGATTGCGCGCGGCGAGAACCTCACGGCTGACGGCCGCCTGATCGACCTGTACACCAAGACCGGCAATCTGGGCGACTACACGGCCATACTGGCGCTGGTGCCAGACTACGACCTCGTCGTGGCCATCAATCTCGCAGGTCCGGAGAGCTCGATCGCGGCGATCCAGGTGATTTTCTCGATGCTGGTGCAGGCGCTGGTGCCAGGCGTGGCTGAGGTCGGGCGCAGCGACGCCGAGCTCAAATACGCAGGGACATACACGTCGTCATCCTCGTCTTCTGCCGGTTCCAACGCCAACGCCACGAGCACCATCACCCTCTCCGTCGACGACTACGGTCTCGTCGTCTCAGACTTTGTTGCGCGCGGCATCGACGTCCGCAGCCCCGATACCGGCTACGCCGCCCTCGCCGGCTCATCTGATAACACCACCACGACGATCCGACTATACCCGACAAACCTCGCGGCGGGGAACCAAACGGCCTGGCGCGCCGTGTACCAGACCAGCAGCGCGGCAGAGCTGGCGGCGTTTGACGCTGAGCTCTTTTTCCCCGGCGGTAGCTGCCAATCGTGGACAGCCGTCGATTTGCAGACCTACGGGTTCGAGGCGCTCGATTACTTCGTCCTGACGGCCGACTCGGACGGCGTGGTTGTTCGCGTGGAGCCCAGGGCGTGGCGGCTCGTGATGGATAGGACGGCCACGTCGGGACGATGATATGCTGAGGTTTTCGTAGAAGGGGGAACTGTTGTCGGAATTGACACTTGAATCTTACTGTGTTGGATAGCATTGCGTTGGACTCGTGGAAGGTTTGGCTGTTCGTCATATAAAGACATGGGAACAAAAGGGCACCACGCTGGAGTTGACTGGTTAATCAGATTACTTACATTTCTTGTACACCGACCCTCGATAAGAGAAGTAGGATTGCCATTCGAAGAAACGGGACGCGCCTCGTCCGCCTCTAGATGGGAAGTAATTCAATCCCATTCTTGGAGAGTGCCCATCTCACATATTTTTGCCTCATCTTACCACGTACTCCGAGTATCTTTAGGGATTCCTCTACGGCAAAGCAATCAGAGTGTAAAACTTCAAGGTGCAGACGTACTTTACACCTCGTCAGTTACACCATGTTGCTCCCAACCCGCAGGCCCACCGGTGTATTCGGCGTCTCCCGACACGATCTCGTCCTCAAGCGGCATCCTCGTTCGAGGTGCGTGCTTACCAAATATCCCAGTAAGTTGTCCCTGATAATCCCAGGACTTTAACTTGAAGCGGCGTCGGCGAGAAGAAAGTCGCACGTGGTGTCGCGTGGCCGGAGTGAAAGTCCAATCTAAGCCAGTCTGGATCCGCGGCCGGCAATGGAGTCGGAATCGGTCGTCCCATTCATCGTTGGGTCTCCCAGGATCAACACCATCCTCGAGTCGGGGTTGGACTGCGGTGTCGGCTTCGCGCAGCCACTCTCTCCACGCGGCGTTCATTGGTGCTATCGAGGTTGCTTCATTCAACCATTGAGACGTACCGGTCAAAACAATGGCGGTCCACAGCGCGCTGATGAGGTCTCGCGCTTCCTCATTGTCCTTGAAACCGGCCTTGGCTCCTCCATGCGCTCTACCTTGCCCACCTTGCCCTCTCTCCATGGCCCAGCCCTTTTGGAATCGGCGCCACTCCTTTCTGACTCTCCCTTCCAATTCTTCCACCCTTGAGATTGCAATTGGGGCGTCGAATCCCTGATTCTGGGGATATTGTACCGGCATGATTTCGACATCGTATGCATGTTGCCAGTGATATCTGAAAGGGTTCAGGGCAGACACGGCCCAGTAGAGGACATTCAGCAAGATATATGAAGCAGCAAAGGTCACCTGGAGAATATTGGATGCATTTGCCAGACACACGACTCCTGTCATGAGCATGACTGTCGACAATAGGGCGAGGGTACGATATAGAGTATCTGTTTTGAGGCGGGTCATTCGTTTGCCAGCTTCAATAGCGACAGCAGCTTACCGCTGATTGCATATTGTGCGTACTCGAGCTGGAAATACAAGAGCGCAATTTGTTCGGACGTTGGACGAATCACTCGGATTGAGCCCTGATACCAGTCAGTATTTTCGACGACAATCCTTTGTAACCCGCATTACTCTCTGATGAGAAGAGCTAGAGGCAACAGACATCGTCAAGCTTGTCGGAATCATAGAATCATAGCGCATCTTCTGCATTAAAGGTGACATAAAAGAGGACCAAACTCACATTAGGATAGTAGATAACGACATCTGAGCGAGGTATAACCCCTTCCCGCCCAACTTCCACTCTTGGTTGTTGGAATACCAGATTCCAGTGAGTGCCAAATCCCACGAACGAGCTCACCATCGACAGCATGATGGTCGCCAGCAAGGAGAAACCATCGTGGTAGTAGACAGAGAGCCCGATTAAAGCCAGAGTCATGGCACTTCCGGCGACTGAAATCCAGAACAAGGCTCCATACTTCTTGGGACCGAATGGACTATGGGTTGATGTTCCTGCAGGCCTTTCTTTCTCAGTCACCTGGACAAGCTCAACCTGGTAATCTTCCAGCGGCTCTGGATGAAGTAATTGCGCGAAGAAATTAAGCTCCCTTTTCATCATGCCACTGTATGCTCCAGTGACGATACCCGGCGCTGTAGGTAGTCGGTATTTTCGTTCGTGTTCAAGCAGGGCGTGGGGAGCTGGCATAAGCCTAGGTAGCGTAGACCACCAAGAAAGACTTGTCGCCTGAGCATTTCGAGTTATCGAGCCTTCTCCAAGCACAGCAATGATACCGACAATGTCAAGCTGCAAATCCTTGAAACTGGCAATCCAGCGCATCTTTTATGGCTGATATTGGGTCAGGTTTAGAGGGAGGCAGTCACACGCCTAGATAGGGGTGCTGAAACGTGTATCTCGCAACTTCACGGGTTCCCTTCGTGCGGCTGAAAAACAGTGTCGGAAAGAATCGAGCGCTGGGTTGTCATGGCCCTGATGGTTGGGGGGATAGAGCAAGCGATATATACCCATACCTGTAGGCAGGCTGAGAACGAAGCACCCCCGGGAGATATGACTTCGTATTGGTGTCTTAGGTCGAGAACCTCGACCGCATGCGCCCAATGCCACCATTGAACCCCCAATCAGGACATGACTTTATTGATGCGATTGTCGACTCGGCTCAAGGGCTGCAAAGGCCCAGCTGAGCTCTTATATTATTACCTTGCTCCTGAGTATCTCCATATTCATGAAATTGCGATCTTGAGGCCCATATAAGGTTCTCTACTCTTTTATCGTGAGCTGGTGACTACATCGTTACTCGGCGCTTGGGTAAGGTAATCAGTTCCATCGAACGGGCAGCTTCCGCGGACGAAGGGCCGAAGCGTAGTTCCCGTTTTGCGTGGGCCGTTGGGGGCCATTGTAGGTTTCGCCTTGTTTGAGGCGGGTGGGTGGCCTTGTGTGCCAACAAGGGAAGTTTGTTAGGGATCGTAGGCTGTGACAGACATTCGACTCCGCCTGGGAATTCAGGCCAATGATGGCGGGCAGCTGAGAAAGGCAAGCAGATGCTTTAACCGGTCGATTTTGTTTCACAATAGCCTCATCTAGCCCATCAACGGCGCCGCCACCCCTGTGGATTTGGGACTCGTGCAAGGTAGTTTTTCAGGAGAGGGACGTGGGGGATTTTATCCCCGTCATCAGGACTGCTGGGAGGATTGCTTGGTTGTGAGGGAAATATGGGATCGCAGTTGGATTGAAGGGTTGTTGATGAGGATATATGTAATCCTCGAGACCGGCATCGATCTTCAGAACCACGTACAGCCGTTAGACTTGCTCGTGTTGTGGGATTCGACGTACCCTGTCCATCGAAATTCTTTTCCCCCCTCCCCTCATTTCTCAGTCAAAGCTTGCGGCTCTTACAAATGGCTTTGTCCAGTTCGTCCTTGTACCCCTCCCGCTCTGCATCAGCGAAGGACCCGGCGTCGGCTGCAAGCGACAGCCCGCGGTGCCCAACGCTCTCCCTATCGATTTCCCCATCTCAATCACCTTCTAGGTCCCCACTACTGCAACCTGGAAACAAATGCACCCAGATGTCGACACCTGAGCCCGCAGAGGGTTCTCAGAATACCTCGATATTGAATTTGACCAAAAAGTTCAGACATCTTGGACGTCTTCCCTCCAGCTGGATCAAAGCAACAGTGCGCTCCCCTCCCTGCAATCCCTCCAAAATTGCGCCTCACTGACATCGTCCGCAGGATGATCGAACACCCCCAGAACAATCCTACCTGTGCGACACCTGCCTCCGCCTAGATTTGAACATCGAGTCGTTCTACGTCCAAGACGATAACCGCGAATTTGAAAGAACTCATAAGCCTCGATATTTGGGCAGACTGTCCCAGATCCGCCATAAAACTCATTGCCCTCATTGTCGCCTAGTGCTTGAGATAGCCGATCGTCCTTCCGATCAACGCAATCCGAGTTTACACGCCGACGATGATCCGCTGTGCTACGCACGATGGGTGGTAGATGGACAGGAAGATTTAGGGCCTGACCCTCATCGCCCGGGGGAACATATATTCAGGCCTAAGACACGACGGTTACTGATATATAGTGACCCTCAAGCGTTTAAAGATGGATACATAGTCCTCCTTGCGGACGACGCCCCCAGCCGAGAATTCTTTGGGCGCAGAATCATCTCGCCTGATCTGCTCGATCCTCAACAACTTCGTCAGTGGCTGCACGACTGCGAAACCCACCATGGCCTGGAATGTGAAGAGTCACTGGTACATCCCGATCTCTTGGGCCAGCCGAAAGATGTCTTTCGTGCGATTGATGTGGACAAGATGTGCATTGTTGAGGCTCCCCAGTCATCCCGCTATGTCGCACTGAGTTATCTCTGGGGTAAGAACTTCGCCCAGCTGTTTACAACCTCTAAGAACCTCCCTAAATTGTCACAACCGGGTGCACTCGAGAAGGAAAAGCTTCCTCGGACGATCAAAGACGCCATTAAGCTCACCAAAATGCTACAAGAGAAGTATCTGTGGACGGATAGTCTGGCACTGCTGCACGATGACGGATTTCAATATCACGACGACTGGGTGTATGCCAGGGCCGCTCTGACCGTGGTTGCGGGTTCGGGTAAAGATGCGAATGCTGGTCTCCCAGGAGTGAGGAAAGAATCTCGAACATTCCATCAGGAGATAGAAGAGGTCAAACCTGGCATGCGGCTAATGGTGTGTCATCTTGCTGAAGGTAAGTCTGAATTCAGCGACCCTGGTATCGAATACTCATCTTCTCGCAGATTATATTTCGACCTCCCAATGGGATTCTCGTGCTTGGACTTTCCAGGAGAGAATGCTTTCGAGGCGGTGTCTGTTGTTCGTCAATGGGCGGATATACTACCAATGTCGGCGGACCACTTTCTGCGAAGATATGGAGATGCCACGGTCCAACGGCTGGTCCTTGGACTCGATCGACATGCCAACCAGAATATTCCGGGAGAAACCCTTTGTTCAGTTCACATCGGCGGTGGAGCTATATACCCGGCGAGAGTTGACGAATCCCAACGACATCCTGAATGCCTTCGAAGGGGTGCAGCTGGTGTTGGAAAAACGAATAGGTGATAGAATATTCTATGGCGCATTGGAGACAATGTTGGACCCGTCATTGCTGTGGGAGTCGACGAAAAGGCTGTTTCGACGGCCGGGCTTCCCAAGTTGGTCGTG